TATTACACGTTTTAAACCTATTGTGCATTTTTAGCTTTTATAACCGCTTTTTAATTATTTTAAACCAATTTTAGAATTTATGGAATTATTTCTTGAACAAGTTACGATTTTCGTACACTTGCCGTTTGGGCACACACCGCGAACCACGCTACATGAAATGCACCCGCGATTCGCGACATGTTTATTTTATTATTGTTTGAAGTTGTTATGATCGGGTCATAAGAAATGCACCCCCGAATTTGGGAATTAGGTATCATAACTATGTCACGGGAATCGTACCCGTAGCCACGATAATTTATTAACAATCGCGCCTAAAGCAAACTACGGTGTTTATGAATTAATTATTTTCTAAGTTTAAGATTAAATCATCGTGGAAAGAATTTACATCCACACTATCCCATTAGCTCACACCAGTTCTTCAGATACTGACTCACTCCCTTTCCTTGCCTTTCTACTATCATATTTTTGGTGTAATAAAACCAATTTGTGGCTGCCACTACTCTTCTAATTTAGTCACACAACTTTGAACTTGGGCGCATACAAGTACTTATTTTGAAAAAAAGGAGGATCGAAATTTAAAGTCCTTCACTAAATACCTCCGGCTTTCCACAAAATTATATAAGAACTTATAGATTTTGGTAGAATAAAGCAATTAATACATTATATGATAAACAAACACATATGACCGTAGGTGTAAGTAAACCAAATTTCTGATGTTGTTATAAGAGTATTCCAAATAGTCTTTATGTTGCAGAATTGAAGATAGCTACATTATAACAATAAGAAGATTCCACATCAAGAAAGAAGATCCAGGAGGTAACAGACAAAACTCCAGAACTTTTGAGAACTATTACTTGATTATATTAGCATTTGGGTGAATATTTTGATCACTTTATGAACATATTAAAGAAAAAGGAACAAGAACAACATTCTGCTCAAGTATAACACTCAAAATAGCGAATAAACATCTCAACAATTGATATTCATATATGTGCACTTTAGATACCAACACTCATAAGTCTTGTTTACCTTAAATTTATCCTTTGTCAACCATGCAGCAAAGAAATTTAATTCCGGAAAAAAAAGAACAAAGAATCAGATTTTAACCAAACATCATTTTATATCATTGCAATTTCAGCAAATTTATATCACACGGATATCCAAACAACCATTACCTTTCAAGATCGAGATAAATGCCTCTAAACAGCAGTAGAGATAAACTTGAATAACCAAATAAAGTGAGGGGAAAGCTGGAGCTCAGCTACTAAACGCAGAATCAGCAGCAATAGGCTTCGATTCTCAGTCAAGAAAATCAAATTGAAACCCAGAAAAATAGTGAAGAAAAACTCCTTGAATCAGCAGCCATGAATGATTATTTTTTTCAGAACCTTTTTTGTTTGTGTTTTTCTCTTCGAATCCTAAAGCTTCTTGCGTGAGAGGGAGGATAGTTTTTCGATTTTTCTTGTTTTCCTTTTTTGGTTCTTAAGGTTTAAAAATTAAGAGGGTGTTTGGGTGTGTGAAGAATAGGGATGTTCTTAGGGAAAAGGGGTCTAAGGGTGTTGATGAAAGAAAGGAACCTGGGGAAGAAACGGCGCTGTGTGCCTTTTTTGAGAGGAGGGGGTCCTTTATTTTAGGTCTAAAAATCTCATCCTTTTGTGTAGCCTAATTTTATCTCTATATAGTTCTAAGTCTAAGTTTTAATTGGAAGGGTATGAATTTTGGACTAATGGGTTCAATTATATTTGGGCTAGGTAAGAAAATTTGGGCCTAATTTGGGTATTAAGAACTAACTCAATATCCAATTAAATCTTTTCTTCAAATTATTTTTTTCTTTTTTCTTTAATTAAAATCCTAGATTATCTAAAAATGTAAAATTAAACTAATTAAGTAATTATAAAAATTGTAAACATCCCTTAAATCTAAATTAAAAGAGAAAAATCAATAACTTAAAAATTAAAATACAAAAATGTAAAAATGGGCCATTTTTGTGATTTTCAAATTTTATAAAGAAAATAATTACTGATTAATTCTAGAAATGAAAAAACGAATCCTAAATGCAATGCATGATATTTTGGTATTTTTTCATGATTAAAATAAAAATCAAACATGCACAGAAATGCAAACAATTAATAAAAATCTACAAAAATTCCTAAAAATGGCAAATAATTAAGAAAAAATCTATCTTCTTGAATTTTATAAGAGTATTTCATATAGGGCAAAAATCAGGTGCTCACATCAAGTAACAGTCTGTACTCATTCTTTCTACTTTTACTATCAGCTAATAGCCAGTGAAATTGGGGCAAATAAGATTCTTGCGACACTTTACCAACTAAAATCCACAAAAAGAAATTTCTGAAGCAAAAACGAAGTGGTAAGGGATAGCGAAATGAACTGTTACAAATAACTTACCATAAGCCTTTCTTTTCATAGACTGCATAATGGGACCATTGTCATTAATATTGGTATCTTTATGGGCAGGTGACCGATGGCAAGCATTGAATCTGCTCACATTGATCATATTCCTTTCGAGGTCGGCCTGATGTCAATCGCAGTTGTTGTTCCCGATACTGATTACTATGCAATTTATTTTTTACATGTCTTCGATTCTACGTGTCACGTTGCCATTCGATCATTTAATGTAAACCAATTTTATCCTATACACTCTAAACCATTATTACGGCTCTTTTTAGCAGCAAGTCACTAAAGTATGTTAATTTTCTCTTTATTTACTTACATTACAATATTTTGAATCAAATATTAAGTCCATATACTTTCAAAAATTCTGGTGATTTAAACTTTTTTTTAAAGATTTTTGTCTTTTGAACTGCAAAATTTCTGTTATGAGTAATTGCTCTAACATAGAAAAATATTTGTTCTTGGTAAAGAATGAGTATGGAATACACAGTCTGTGTTATTGCCTTTACTCATAAATCAAAATCTTGGTTGAGCATTGTATGTATACAAGTTCTTTTCGTAAATATAGTGCTCAACAAACATATGGTACTCTTAATCTATACTCTTATAGTAGTGTTACACTTACACAAAGTTCTAAAAATAAAGTACCGGAAATTAACTGGTTGAGAAATTGAGATGATTGTGACGATTTCAAAAAATCTAATTTAGGTTATACTCAATTAAGTAACTAAAATAGTATAATATAAATTTCTTAAAATAACCAGCCGAATCGAACCATTGACACCTCTACCCCTAGCCGTGAGGGAGAAAAGTTATTGATATGTTTTATGAAAAATCATCTCATATATAGTTGAGCGCCCTTGGTACTGATATTTTATAAGATTACTTGAATTAATTATACAAGTGTTTACTGAAGGTAGTTGGTGAAAATTGGAAATGCTTATTGGTGAAAAAATATATGCAAAGAAGTATGATCAACTAATGTAACTTGTCAAAATCTGCTATATAGATTAAACCAGAAGTATGATCAATTATTCTCAAATATTGATGATTATCCTTCACTAGAAAAAGCAGAAAGATTGATACTTCACTGCAGATGCCAATTTTTATTTATTATACTAGTAATATACTTTCTTAGATCACATTAGTCATGGAAGCACAAATTAATCTTGTTTCATAATCACTCTAAGGGTGTGTTTGGTATAAAGAATCTCAATAAATAAATAATTTTCTTACTTATTTTATGGTATTTGGTTGCTTAGCAAAAATATTTTAAAAATATATCTAATCTCAGCAAATATTATAGGAAACAAAAAGGGTGAGGGCAAGGGGATGAGAGTGGCGGTGGGAGTTTGGGAACCGAGGTGGCAATGGTGTGGAGTTGGGGTGGGAAAGGTTGAAAGAGAGTATTTGAAAATATTTTCCTTCCTCTTGGAAGGGAAGCCATTGTCCTCCATCTGAAGGAAATAAATTCATAAGAAAAATATTTTCTAACATATTTAAGCCACAAACAAAGAGAAATTGAAAAACATTATTTAAAAAAATATTTTCCAAAAAATATACCAAACACATCCTAAATGGAGGAGTATTAGAATAGTATGATGAAGCTTCTTGCACAAGTTTCTGTGTGTGAACTTGTGTCAATAATAAAAAGGGAAACTTACACAAATGTCCCATATAAGTTTCAACTTACCAACTTCTAGCCATTAGTCATAAACTTGTCAAAATTAGCCAAGCACATATAAAAATTGAAAAACTAAATAAATAAAGTTCTTTATCTCAAAGAATCACATGCAAAAAATCTCCTTCCATATTTTTAAGCGTGATTAGCAACATTAGATGCAAGACGGAAAGGAGATTTCATGGATGAGGTAGCCAAATAAGGTGATGAAATACAAAAAAAAAATATAATATTCCAAAAACCTAAGCAAAAAGTAAACCTTTTTCAATGGGTATAGTTGAAATTCATTGAAAACATATAGATAAGTCCATATACAAAATTTGAGGAATATTGGAAGTGATTTGGACTGATTTTCTATCAAAATTCGTAATTAAATCGAGTTCAAAAAAGTTCTTCTGCGACACTTGTATCAAACATGTATCACGCATGTATCTCACACGCAGGTATACATGGATATACATGTGATACATAATTGATACATATATGATATACAAATGATACACAGTGCAATACACATCATTTTTTTTTTTCATGTTCCATTTTTACTTCGAATTTTCAATTCAAATCGCCTCAAAACTTCACCAAATCATCCAAAACTGAGATTCGAGCTCTTTAAGAAGTACCCAATCTATTCTAATAACACCCACTCAAAAGAAAGCAAAAAATTTGACTTAATTTTGCTACAAATAGCTAATTGGCTAATATTAATAATATTTTATAAATTGGCCAATTTTTGTAATGAACTACTTACAAATGGACATAGCTGGTAAATTCCCTAATAAAAATAAACCCACAGCTGCATAGCATATATTTATTCATTTTTTTTAGACTGAAACGCCCGATAGCATATTCATCAGCATATTCATAACTGATATTAGTGCGTAATAGACTAATGATAGTGCAGTCCACTAAAACCAAACTCAGGTTGATTGTTTTACTGCCGACCAATAGATAGTCCGTCATGTTTGATAACAAGTAGACAAATTGAGGAATTCAGACTCCTAGGTAGTGAATAGCAAGAAGAATCCTCATCAACATCTGAGCAAATTATATCAAAAGGACTGCACTCTAACAAAGTACACCCCAGAAACCAAGGCTCTGCTCTAAACTACACAGTAATTATAGTTCCAGAGATAACTCCGCAAGGTTTTCCATTCGACGAGACAACAGATGCAAATATTCTAAACTCGCAAGAACTAGGGATCTGATTCGGTGAAGAAACACAATGAGCTTTATAAGAATGTCCTTGCACGAAAAGCTATCACGGAGCCAAGGTAACACTTGCAAAAGACAACTGTCATCGAACTAGCTTCTCCTGCAACCAAACCAGAGCTTCCTACGTGCAAGACCTGCAGACCTGCAAAGATGCAATAATATGATACTCTCTTACCATTATCTTATAGTGTAAGACTGATCCATGAGAAACCGAAGATGAGCTTAGGATAAATTATAGCCTAATTCTACTGCTTGATAATCTTCCCTTGCGCCTTCAGCTTTTCTGCAACTTGTTCATCAGACAAGGGCAAATAGTAAATGCGAGGTGTTGCCTTTGTCTTTTTAAAGAGATCATCCAGAGTGACAATTGGAGGGTCGAGTTTCTCAGGAAGTGGAGGTGGTGGAAGTTTCTCAGGTTGAAGTTGCTTGTTCTGCATCTGTTGCCTTGGTGACGGTTGGGGCTGGGCAGAAGGCAGGGCCGCAGCCGGGATTGTGGTCACAGGAGTTGCATGAGTTGAAGGAGATTGAGGTGGTGCTTCAACCTTATCTTTCACTCCCTGGGGATCAACAAACTCAGCAACAAGTAGCTTTCCTCCTTGTGGAGGCCATTGCAGATTGTATACAGCATTTCGAGTTTCTATAGCTTCTTCTACAGATGAAAACTGCACAAAATTCGACAGCAACTTAAAATTCACCAAGACAAACGTGTCGTAGGAGGCAGAGAGAAAACCAAAAAAGATAAGAGTGCTTACAGAAACAAAGCAGTGGGTTTTAATAGCGTCCATCCAGAAATTTGTCACAGTACCCGTCTTGCTAAGTAGCTCTTGCACCGCTTTCAAGGTGAAAGGCCGCAGAAAATTTTCGATCAAGAGAGAATTAGTAGGCACTTTTGATGATGGGGGAACTGTTACAATCAACACAATTACATTATTCATACCCATATACATCCAGAGTATACTCATTTCACCATCAAAGAAGTGGTAACTCACCCACACATTCTTTTGGTGGTTCCTCTTTGGCCATTGAATCAGATCTAGAGAAACTACGTCTGAAAGAGGGCTGGAAAAAATCCTTGGGGGTAGTTGAGGCCACAGCATCACCTTTCTTGTTCTCAGGAATTTTAAGATCTTCTGAATTCCATCTACGCTGCCTCTTTACAATATCATTGCTCCCAGCTGCTGTTCTTTGATCTACAGCAATATATAGAAAATAAGATTGGGGGCAGATCTAAGAAATTTCCAGAGCAATGATATAAACAACAAGTGCCATTTATTTGATTCCCATTAAATAGCAAAGTGCTTAATCAGAACTGCACTGTCAGAAGACATTGGGAGGAATGAAATGTGAATACAGAAGTGCTCCTTTGAAAAAGGAAAGACTTGTAAATGCATAAAGGCCTACAGGGATTGGAATCCAATCTCTGTACTCATCTTTTACACTCTACGAATCTGCTAATAGCCAGTAAAATTACAATTTACGGCTAATAAGATTCTTGCGACACTTCAGCAATCAGAATAAAAAAAATGTAAAGTCGTAATAATTGCACCGACAGAAAGACATAAGAGGAATGAAATGTAAATACGGAAGTGTTCCTTGAAAAAGGAGCGACCGGGATATGCATAAAGCCTACAGGGAATGCTTCTCAAATCTCTGTACTCATTGTTCTTTCTACTTTGAAGTATCCGCTAATAGCCAGTAAAATTAGAGCAAATAAGATTCTTGTGACACACTAGCAATCAGAATCCACAAAAGGAAAATTGTAAAGCCATAACAAAGTAGTATAGAATAGCGAAACGAACTATTGAGGTCAACATACCATGAAGTTTTCTTTTCATAGACAGCACAGTGGGACTATCATCTTCAACATTGGTATCTATATGGGCAGCTGACCTAGCATCATCCGCAGAAGCAGCAAATCCTACCTCCCTATTCGTGTCCACTTCAATTTCTTTCTTTCCATCTATTTCTTTCACTGAGTCCAACTTAGAATCAGCTAATTTACCCTCTGAAACATCCTCCTCCATGGAATCCTCACCAGGACTTCGGTCTAGTTGCAACTTCTCTGCAGAATCCCCATTGCCATCCGTCTTCATTATATCAACATATTTATCGTTTTCGTTGCCTGGCTCTTCTGTAGATACTTTCTTGTCATGTGGTTCTTCTACATCCATAGGATGCAATTTTGCATCATCAGGAACATCACTGCTCGACAATAGCTGCACCATCTCAGGTTTAACATCTAATTCTAACTTGAAATCATTAGCTATTACGTTATCCTTCAGTTCTATTTTTTCATCAATTGAGATATCAGGGGAAACAGAATCAGATTTTACTTGAAACCCTAAAATAGGGCTGAGCTCAGATACCAGAGTTTCCAGATTGGATGAACTGACCTTTGCCTCATCCAGTGAAGAGTTTGAAATGTGATTCTCCCGCTGCTCTTTTAGATCCCCGCTCTCATTCTGGATTTCATATTTTTGCGAGTCTTGTCCACTTAAAGCTGTGGCAGACTCTACACTCACTCTGACAGGATCACTGGTTTGCACAACACTAACTTCAGGATATTTATCGTTTTCCTTGCCTGGTTCTTCTGTAGATACTTTCTTGTCATGTGGTTCTTCTATATCCATAGGATGCAATTTTGCATCATCAGGGACATTACTGCTCGACAATAGTTGCACCATCTCAGGTTTAACATCTAATTCTAACTTGACATCATTAGCTATTACGTTATCCTTCAGTTCTGTTTTATCACCAATTGAGACATCAGTGGAAACAAAATCAGATTTTACTTGGAACCCTAAAACAGGGCTGACCTCAGATACCTGCCTTTCCAGAATGGATGAACTGACCTTTTCCTCCAATAGTGAAGAATTTGAAATGGGATTCTCAAACTGCTCTTTTAAATCTCCACTCTCATTCTGGGTTTCATATTTTAGTGAGTCCTGTCCACTTAAAGCTGTGGCAGACTCTACACTCACACTGACATGCTCACTGGTTTGCACAACACTAACCTCAGCTATCTGGTCCTCTTCGGTTGGAGCACTGCTTTTCGCATCACCAAATTGGTCTATTGGATCCTTTTCAACCATAGTAGAAATAGCACCACCAGCTGGCTCCTCAGTTGAGAATTTCCCTTCATCCGATTGCACTCTGTTTTCAGCTGCATCAACCTCGCTCATTTTCTCATCCGCATTCTTATCTGTGATATTGCCAGCATCAAAATCATCCTTGGGATTCTCAGAATCAACGGGCTCAGCCATCTCTTCCTCTGGCACAGGCGTGGAATCACTATCGTTCTCAGACTTAGACTGAGCACCATCCTGTTCTTGGAGGATTGCTTCAGCTAATCGCCTTACCAACTCTTGCTTCAACCCCTTAATGGGTAGCTTACGTCTCTTAAGCTCTTCTTTCAGCTCTGTGACCTTCAACTGATCAATTGGCGGATTATCAATAATGGGATACGGTGACGACATCTTGTAACTTCCAGAGTATTAGTTTTATCCAAAAATGGTACCTGATCGAACCATCAAGAAGTCAACAAGAAGGCAAACATGTCCAAATGTATATGTAAGAGCACTCAAAAATAGAACGAGGCATCAACATTTTGGAACCTGAAACTAACAGATACTGTAATGTCAAGTAGGCTCATTAGACTGCAGAGACCATCTTAAACTATAGCAAAGTAAGACCTGAGTCTGCAAGAGAGAAATCAGCAGCAGAAAACTAAAGCAAACCCAACTCTAAAAGGATATATATATATATATCTATATATATATATATATATATATATATATATATATATATATAGGCAGACAAGTTTTCTACCCCAGCTCATTTTCCACATAGGACAAATGTAAATGTAGAAAACAATGAAGCTTCTACAGAATGTAGGATACCTAGATAAAGGAAGCAAGAGTATATTTTAAGAAGAGACAAAAACCAACCAAATTCCAATATGAAAATGAAATGCCTCTATGACAGGAACAGTGACCATAAAGCCTCCTACCTCCTTAGAGAAACAGATCTATTTTGGAGTCTAAATATACTAGTTCCGTGAAAAATCTTTTTTAAACAAAAATGAAAAATTAGCTGAGGTCCGCTATTAGGAATCCTCCATATATTATGAGAGTGAATATCACTTCTGCCTATAATACAACATGGGTGATACTTCTTTTTTTCAATATACAATGTGGTGATACTTACAGGAAAATGCATCAATTAGTTAAGCATAATAATCCAATATAAATCAGTGAAAATTACTCCTGCCAATGATATAACTTTTTTGAATAAATACAATGTGGTGATACATATAGGTAAATGCATCAATTAAACATAAATAAACCTTAGAAATGAACACAATTAAAAAAAAAGGAAATGGATAGTCTTTTGCTAAACAAAATTAAAAGAAAGACTAACCTTGTAAATTAGGGCTCAGAGGCTTGAATCACTTTTATGAGTATCAAAACCCTAGTTACACCGTAAACACACAAAAGCGAGCATCATCAGATTAGAAACATCCAAAATTCAGAAACAAAACAACAAATGAAGAAACTGTTAAAGAAAAACAAAATCAAAACAATTACTAAAAGGAAAATTTGAAACAAAAAAAGGGGTTATGGGAAACTTGACGACAATTCAATTTCCTGTTGAAACAGTGAGGATCTAAATTGGAGATTAGGTGATTGGGGATTGGGAAATGTTGATGAAACGAAGTGATTTTTCTTTTTAGGGTTATTGTTACGAGTGTGCCGCGAAGAAGAACGGTGAGAAAGATTGTGTGTAACGACTGACGAGTAGACGGCAGAAGAAGATTGAGAGACGGTCTAATATTCCTATATTACCCTTACTTTTTCGCCAAATTACTGTTAGATGGGCTTTTTCATCGGACTCGCCACTCTTTGGTCCCTTCATTGTCGAGAAAATCTCACTTTATATTCATTAATTTCAAATTATTTACCCTTCAATGTCCAGACACAAACTATTAGAGAGAAATTTAAAAATAGCCAGATTTACAATTGGTCGTTCAAAAATAGCCCAATTTCAAAAGTAATCGAAATTTAGTCACTTTTTATGTAAAGATAAATCTGAGCGAAAACACTGTTCAAAACCCGGAAAATACTCCAGTATATTATGATGGAGTTCCAGCATAAGTATACTTGAACTCCAGCATATTATACTGGAGTTCAAGGATAGTATGCTAGAACTCTAGCATAATATGATGGAGTTCCAGCATAAATACACTAGAACTCCAGCATAATATACTGGAGTTCCAGCAAGTATATTGGTCCAGTATAATATACTGGAGTTTGGAGCACCAGTGCTCCAGTCTCCAGTATATTATACTGGAGCCAGCAAAGTATACCGGTCCAGCATAATATGCTGGAGTTCATACACAAGTGCACCGAACTCCAGTATATTATGCTGGACCGGTCTCTATTGCAGCAAAACGGTGGCTATTTTTCATTGACTTGGTGAACGCTGGCTATTTTGGATTGACCAGTCTGAAAACTGGCTATACCGTGCTATTTTTACAAACTACTACTCCTACTCATGGGCCCAAACTATTTACCCGCTAATTTCAGTCGTTGCTTTGCCAAAGATGGAAGCGATGAATCATATCAAAGCAATAAGGTTCTATTTGTTAGGCTTATAGCGGGAAGGAGCTATTTTCTCAAGAAAGAAAACAAAATAAAATTAAATTCAAATGCTAGTTCTTGGTTGTAATTTTTGTTCTCCTTATCGGTTTGTAATATCTACGGTTTGACTTCGAAAGGAATATTAAGCAATACTACACTAAGCGGAGATCATTCCAGGAATCTTTTGAAGAAACAAGAAAAGTAGCAAAAGTAGCAAAGAGAACCATAAAGGCTACTAACTAAATCTACCTTCATTCATTCCATTAGTGGACCATAACAAAGTTTAATCATCGTCCTCGCTTGTTCCTTTCATAAACGCCTTTCGTCCTCCACCACCTCGTCGGAGAAAAATTTATTTTTGAAGCTTCTTGTTTGATTCAAAGTGGTGCTGTTAAATATTGCTTATAGTACCTTTTGAAAGTTCATACTGAAATTTGATAGTATTTGGAGCTTATTTGAGGTGATTGAGATCGAAATTTTCAGTTGAAAATCGAAGAAGAACACAGCTACAATATACCGCCACGGTATACAATATGTTGTAGGAGTATATAGCTATACTGCAACGGTATACTATTATAGTTTACAGAACAGTATACCGCTACACTATACTAATATACTACAAGAGTATATAGTTATACTGTAACAATATACTATTATAGTATACAATATATTGTTATGGTATACTGTAATAATATGCAAGATACTGTAACAATATGTTGTAATAGTATACAGTATACTATAATAGTATACTTATTACCCGTAAATTCACTTGCCTTTTCCTTTTTAATTCGTTTTAAGCTTTTACACAGTGTGAGGGGCAAATTGGAAATGCAAAAATAAAATAAAAATTATAGTATGCTATATGATGTAACAGTATACTCTTACAATTAGATCTTTTTAGAATTTTTTATTGACAACGGATATTATTTCAGCTTAATAATTGAATTAATTTTTTTTTAACTCTTTGCGTACACCTGTTGGTATAGCTATATATTATACCGGAATAATATATTAGTTAATATTTTTTGGGTTGTATTAACTACATTTAATTGGTACACAATTTGATTTTTCTTTACTAGTAATATAAAAAAAAAATAATACAAAATAGTGAAACAGTAAATGAAATTAGATTATGAAGAGAAAAAGAATATAAAAAAAAGTTAAATGAAATTAGAAAAGAAAAAAAGAAAAAAATAAGAAGAAAACAAGAAAAAAAAAAGGAGAAAAGAAAAAAAAAAGAGAAAAGAAAAGAAGCATAGAAATAAAAAAGAATTGGAGAATAAAGAAAAATTCCCCACAAAACCTACTATGGGTAGAAAATGTAGTTAGTTTATGGGTAGGAAAACAAATGGGTAAATAAGGGTAAATAGTTTTATTTTTGTGGGTAACTGTGTCAAAACCCCTTAATTTTTCTTCTTTCCATTAGGAGCCCGTTTGAATATAAGAAATTTTTTCGTTTTTCTCAAATTTTGTTTACCTTTTTTCTGAAATTTGTGTTTGTTCATAAAATTTTCAATTTTCACTTGAATATGTATTTTGGAAATTTTCGAAAATTTGAAAAATTTCAAAAAGCTATTTTTCAAAATTTTTACTCAAATCACTTACAAATCTTCAAAAACAACCCAAAATTTATATTCATATCCAAATACAACTCTAAATTTTAAATATCATTTTCACTTAAAAATAAATTTTACCCTGCTTTGGAATTTTACAATTCTTATGCCCAAACGCCCACTAGATATAAGTCCGCCTGGACCCCAATTCGCAATGCTGACAACACTATTATTATTATTATTATTGGACAAATTACATATTTGTCGGATCGACTAAAAATAATATTAAAATCCGCTAATCAAATATACAAAAACATAAAATATATATATATATATTATTTTTTGGGGCGATTATACTATATAATTTTTTCATTATTTTTAATTGCAGCATAGCAGGAAGAGGAATATTGTAATTAATCTTAGCCTTTAAATATTTTGGTGGACAAGTGGCTCCATTCTAGATACCTATTTAAAAATATTGGAGGATGCGCGCTAATGACTTTTACACGAGCATTTGAATTGTGCCAGGTACATAATTGACGAAATTGTTTTAGATGTGATCCAGCAATAAATTTAGGCAACCCGATATTATAGAGATAACATCTAGGAAATTTTACCTCTTATACCAAACTATTACACCCTATTTATTATAAATCAAAATAATTTTGAAATATTATTATTTATAGCTACATTTTTTATTTTATAGCAAAATCGGTATTTATTTTATACCCTACCATTGAGGAGTGAATTATGCCAATTATAATTTTTTTTCTCTCTCTTTCTTCTCTCTCTCTCTCGGCAAGATTCTCAATCCTCTATCTTCTACCTCAAATCTCTTTCCATTTTCCATCAAGGCAGTCGTCCTAGCAGCCATTTTTGGTGGCTATGGTGGACTTTCTGAAGCGAAGAGAGTAGATCTAAAGCGAAAAAGGAGTAGGCAAATAGTCGGCTCAAAATCATCATTGTCATTGTGTTCGTCGTCAGAATCGTCGGCATCATCATCCACTAGCTCATCATCTTAGGCGAGCAGATCTGGCCATGGCTACGCCGGAGAAGATTTGAGTGTCTGATTTTTGTTCGTCTCCATTTTTTGTTTTAATACAATGTATACCGTATTTTGCTTGGCTGGAAAACGCAATCTCCAACTAACTTTCTTCTCTTGTTTGCTATTTTGGTCATATACAATGATACAAATATATTATTTTTTGTATAAATATATTATTTTTTGCTTGTATTTATTTATTCTGAAGGTCTGTATTTTTTTCATACAGTCGAATATCACTGTATTTTGTGATTTTTGTTGTTTGAATACATTTGATTGAATATGGTGAATTGAATACAATGTATAATAGTGAATAATGAATATCTATAAATTGAATACAATGTATATAGTCGAATTGAACAAAACGGTATACACCCTATTTCTTGATTACCTCACTGTATTTATAAATACAGTCGTACGAATACATGGAATACAACACAGTAGCATCGAGATTTATGTAGAATTCCGCTATTGTATTCATGTTGTATTCATGAATAATACAGTAGTGCGAATACATCGAATACCGTTGCATTGCAGCTAAATTTATGTAGAATTAATTTTGTTGAGTCAAATTAGGAGTGATACACGCTAATTGATCCTCTTTCCGTTATTAAACAGCTGGACACCCTTAATTTTTAGGCGAATTCCGCTATTGTATTCATGAATACAATAGCGTGAATACAGTCGCACAAGTGGACTCCCCTATTTCTTAGGCAAATTTCACTATTGTATTAATGAATACAGTAGCGCGAATACAGCGAATACAATAGCGTAACAATTAACAGTATCCATATGAAGTAATTATGTGTATGGTAGCTATAGGAAATTAATAGCCCCTAAACAATAGTGATTTCTGAAAATTTAATTTTAAACGGCTTATCATTACGAACCATAAATATAACACTGTTGTCTTTAATATGGAATTATTAGTCTCCCAAAAATAGTAAAATAATTCAAGACTATAGAATTCTAAAATGCATATATATTAACGCCTCCTCCATTTTAAGCACCTTTTTAATCAAATTTCACTATTGTATTAATGAATACAGTAGCGCGAATTGTGACGATCCAAAGGATCATCACTTGTTTCCTTACCCATTCTGTACCTTCGAGGCCTTGAAAACCTCATTTAGGGTTGCCTCGATTTGGTGCGCAGTCCGGGCGCATAGCCGGAAAGCTTAAATATGAATTCTGTGTAAAAATTTATGAATTTTGATATTATTATGATTAAAGTTGACTTGGGTCAACATTTTTGGTAAACGGACTCGGACCCGTGATTTGACGGTCCCTGAGGGTCCGTAGAAAAATATGGGACTCGGGCATATACCCGGAGTCGAATTCCGAGGTCTAGAGCCCGAAAAGAATTTTTCTGTGAAATTGTTTTTCTGAAATTATTAAGGAAAATGGAAATAAAAATTGATTAAAAGACTGTGGTATCGGGCTCGTATTTTGGTTCCGACGCCCGGTACAAGTCTTATATATGGTTTAAGCGCTTTCTGTGAAGTTTGGATGAAACCGGACGTCATTTGACGTGTTTCGGACCTAGATATCTAAAATTTGAAGCTTATGAAGTTAGAATGAA